AATGTAATGTGAACGTTCACACAAAAAGATCGGATTTTTTCAAAAAATCGGAACTGAGCATTAAGACCTGCAGTGTGAACGTAGCCTTAGTCTTAAAACACAACCTTTTCAGAAGAGAACTTTCAGAAGAAAACACACCAGGAGAAACTTTAAAGTGTATAATTTACCTTAATGGTGTAACAATTTGTTGCTATTAACACATCACATCTCACTGCACTGACCATACTGTATAGAGAAGAATCTGGTTAAAACATCCTGACTTTCAGAGTCATGAAGAAATTTGCTTCTCGGTAAAAGAAGGACAAAATTTATGTACAAAAAATAAAACCCTACATGACATTGTAATACCATTTTTTAATGCTTTTAAATTATTTCAGTTTATTTAATAAATACACTGACGTGAAAAAACTTAGTACATGTGTGATTGCTTTTTGAGATATGTTTATTTTGGAGTTGTAGCCCCACCTGGAGAAAAATCCACCAGCCGCCACTGGTAACAACACTACCTGCACCAAAATGAGTTCAGCAGCTGTGAGTGAACAAGCGTCCACAGTTTGGAACAAAGCAGAAGAAATCGTTAAGGAAAGACTAATTCAGTGGTGCAGAAGTGGTTTGGGTATCCAAGGTCTGATTAAACTTCAGCTTTCAGTCTGATGTTGACTCGCAGCGAGAACAATCAAATGCTGCAAACGCAGGCGGGTACGGCAGGTCGTTGTGACATAAAATCAACTTCACCACATTTACAGATATCAGAAATTACTTTATGACTAGAAATAGTTAATTAAGATATCTCTGATTAGCACACTGGAGGGATTATGTATTCACTCTGTGCTGGGAACGCCTGGGGGTCCCCCAGGACGAGCTGGAACATGTTGCTGGGGAGAGGGATGTCTGGGTTTCTCTCCTAGACATGCTGCTTCTGTGACCTGACTACAGATAAGTGGATGAAGATAGAGATCTCTGATTATATTATGATGATGATGATGTTTCAGATTAGATCATGACTAGTCATTAAGATTGCATAATATATCACAAATGTATAGTCATCGCAAAAAAAGTGCATGAACTAGGGTTGGGCATAATCGTATCGTGTGCAATTAATCGTCAGAAAAACATTAATCGATTACTTTTTGGCACTTGACGATTAATACGATTAATACCACCAGGCAGACTGACTGGGGATTACTCCGGTCAGTCTGCTCAGTGCTCCTCTCCGCTTCAAATATGACGAACATTAAAATAAAGTTCTGCAATTTATTTATCTATCTACACAATTTAAAATAGGATGTATAGCCTGAAATCTGTAATTTTCACACAATTTGGAACAATTATTTACAAAAAGCAAATCTTTCCCACTAAATTGGTCATGTTACTAAGTTAAATAAGGGTGTGCAAGGAGTCAGGACATTAACTGTCAAATTAATGGTTATCGACTAAATACTACAATTAATCGTGATTAATTTTTTTTGCCAATACTGCCCAACCCTAGCATGAACAGCAATTAATGTTTGCTCCAAATGTTTGCATTTCTCTGTTTTGTCAGCATCAATCATGGACCTGCACCACATCAAAAGTTGGACATCTGCAAAAAAGGGCATTTACAGGATTTAGATGTGCTAACTTTTATTTAAAAAGGTCTTTAACATATTTTCAGATTTTTTTTTTTTAAACTGATAGTAAGAAGTGTTTTTCAGTATTTAGAGCATCAGAAAATGTTTTCTGGGGGCGAAGTAACATCATTAGGAAACTGTTTTACATGTATTTTGTTGCTTCACTGCTAATACAGCAGCTGTGTCTAGCTTCACATTTTAAAATAAAACTATCATGTTGGAATAGAAATGATGTTTTCGTTCACCCCAAAGATCCAGTTCCCCGGCAAAAACAGAGTAATATAGTATATGCTGTTAAGTGTCAGGAGGACTGTGATCAGTCGTACATTGGGGAAACAAAACGGCCACTGTTCAAAAGAATGAGCCAGCACAGACGAGCTACATCATCAGGTCAGGACTCTGCAGTTTTCACTCATTTACAGGCCAGCGGTCACTCTTTCAGGGATGAAGATGTTCTCATCCTTGATAGAGAGGAACGTTGGTTTGAYAGAYGAGTAAAYGAAGCCATCTTTGTGAAGAAAAACCGTCCACCATTAAARAGAGGTGGAGGCCTTCGTGTCCAGTTGTCCTCCTCCTACAATGCTGTTATTGCAAGTATGACTCAGCCCCCTGTGAGCAAAAAGTGTGAATCAGGGCCCCAACGATACCAACACAAAGAGGGAAAAAAAACTAAAACAAGGTGACTTTGAGCTCCGCCTGCATTCACTACATGCACGACACAACACCTAAGAACCACAGCATCCAAATCAATAAGTCAGGTGATGGGGCACATGACCCTCTATGAACAATAGAGCCAATCAAGCCTATTGTTAGGCGATGGCCCTCTTTTGCATGTGACTAACCTGTTTGTCCAGGTGGAGGCAGGGCTTATAAGGCTGAGTTCACCTGAAACTCAGACTGAAGAAGTCTCTT